ATAGTCATGGGGGCCATCGGAGAGCCCCCCCCCCCCAACCCCTCCCATCACATGCTAATCATCGTTTGCCAAGTTTAGCATTGTGGCTTAGATTTTCCAGTCTGAAAATTAAATCTGTTTTTGAACGACCTGTGTCTGTGTTCGCTCATTCAGTGACACTTGCGTTGCCTTTATTGCATTCTTGATTATTGTTTGGTTGTGTCATGAGGAAAATGTGCAACAATGAACTGTGACACAGTTAAAAATAACATAAGGGGGAAAGGTTCTGTTTCATTCCATCAACACCGATAAGGATCACGCTCTCATGTTTTTTGGGTGCATAGCATTTTCCGTTGCACCTGTCATGACCTCATGTTTTCTCACTTCTGCAAACAAGGAATGTGACATGCTTTTGAAAAGTAAATATCTAGGAATTCACTTTGCATTCCAAGCCATGTCCATAACAACACAGACATTTTTAGGGTTGTTTTGTCAATTTCAAAGAGTTTTTCAAAGGCTTCTACATCCTAGAGACTGAGGCCACTTTTTATTTTTTATCATGATGATTAATATTAACCTAAAATGAGCACTTCAAACCAAAATGGCTGACTTTCTATGTCTTTTAATGCACGCCTTGTACACAAACGTTCATATTAGTGACCTAACAATGCCACTTAGACTGAACAAGTGGAGCCACCGGTGGCCATCTTGCATTTCCACTTGCAAAGTGCGGCCAACTTGAATGCATTGCTTTCTCTGAGGTGTTGTCACTTTTACTTTTTTGCCTCTGCGAAAATGCCATTCACATTTACCTGGTAAGAATGTGATTTTAAATGTCTTTCAAGGTATATCTCATCAAATGCTCCTCAAAGATTCGTCTGCATCAACAGTCAACAATGAAATTCAAAAGCAAAACTCCATCAGGACAACATTTGCTGAAAAATGTAAACGTAACCTCTGTCAGTCACAATTCCCAATACAGATCATTTACTGCAGTTGATGTAAACAGTGTAGTTGGCTCTTTGTGAGGCTCTCATTATTCCTTCCAGGGAGTCCCGGTATAAAACACGCATGAATAATTCAGTGGGGGGGGAAGTTGTCAGTAACAGTGGCTGCCCTCTGGTTTGCGCCACGAAAGGCCAATTGTCCATTCATATGCAAGTCCATGCGCTTCTCAAAACTGTATGCATGTGCTCGTGATAGACATGCCTACCAAATCTCATTTTCTCGAGTGAAACTGGCTTCTGCCCTTTCTTGGTTTGGATATGATGCCCTTCCTCCCTTTCACTTTTCTCCCTTTTATAGCACTGACTTTCCAACACTGTTGCCTTTTGACAAAGAAACCCTGTTGACGCCATTCTGGGCCATTCCATTAACGAACATTTTAAGGGCGTCATCGGTGGTATCATTTTTTTTTTTTTCGGGTTTTGAGTTTCATTTGTTGTCTTTACGTCAATGCAAGATTTTTGCTTCCAATAATAGGGTTTTCATCAGCTTTTGAAGTGGTTCGGCTTCATGAGCACGTTAATGAATAGGACTAGAAATAATCCACAGTTCAAAAATACCACGACATGCATAATGAACATCATATAGTTGTTGTGATTGCGTCTGTGGCCTGGTATCCATGATTTCTGACACCTTGAACAATAGAAATAAACGTGGATGAGAATAAAGCCTAAACGACCCAGTATGAGTACACGTTTAATGGCGTCCACCTGTGTTGTTGTTATAAATTTGCTTTCCTCATCCAACACAGCTATGCAACGCGGCATATTTGCCAATGCACATCATGTACAGATCTGAACTGATTTTCATACGTCTCCACCCCTTGCCCGATGTACCGCAATCCTCACTCTCCCCTTTTTTTCTTTTAGCTTGAAAAAGGAATCCTGCAAGAAGGATTTGCGGTCCGTCAATGAGGAACTACCGGCTCATCTTTTGTCACAACCTGAAGCAGCCATAGATGGTTAAGTGTTTCGCTGTCTAGGGAGGAGAGCATAGGACACACTTTCACTGCTACACGGTGAGTGCGCGCACGCACACACACACACACACTCACACACACACACACACACACGAATGCTCACAGTCAAATGTCCATTAATTTAATTTGGGCTGTTAATTAATTACAATGGGCAAAAATAAAATTAATACAAACTGCTCTCCACCTGTCATGTTTGGACTATATTTATTGCCCGCAGCCAGGCACGAAGTGCAAAGGAATGCCTCTGACACAAACAAGGAGACCAGGAAATAGTTTCAATTAAAGCACTGCTGAGAGTCAAGTTAAAACAGAAAGAAAAGTACAGAAAAAAAAAACATTACAATAAAGGTAACAGCTATTTGAAAAGCTGGTTTCTTCTATATGTGTGAGTCTTGATGTCAAAGTTGTGTATTATTCACTGCAAGCCATTTTGTTGTATGTGCGTGGATGAGAATGTCAAACTTGTGCATCAATTGCTCTGGTAGAAGCTTTTTTTTTTCTCCTGTTTGGGCATCTCTCGGTCTAGGAGTTGCGTATCAGATACGACAGAAGGAGCCGCTTTCTTTAAAGAGTCTGAGTTTTGGCGTCAGTCAGTACAAAACATTACTTTTCCCAAAGTTGTTTTTCTTCTGATGACCATGTCTTGAAGTCATATTTAGGAGTCAATTGCTATAGTAGAAAGGTAATCAAAAGTTGTTTCCTTTTATATGCTTCAAAGAAGCGCATCAGTCACGACACCGGGCAGCTTGTCGACTCCTGTTTTCTTTTTATATCTTTGCCATCTAGACCCATGCATGCAGTAAAGAGCTTTTACCGTACTTTCCGGACTAGAAAATGCACCTGATTAAAAGCAACAACAGCTAAATTTAGCCATAAAAACAAATATGATTCATATCAATAACCGTGGGTCTCAACGTTATATCATGGAAATTTGCAAAGAATAAGGTCACATGGATGGGTTGAAAAAAGTATTGACCTTCAACACCAATAGATGCATTTTATTCCCCAAAAATGCTGAGCACGGCTAGTTATACACTTGTGTCCCAGAACCTCTCAGTCTCTCTCGTCACATGAGGTCAATTTGCAGAAGAGCTTCACCACGCAAGAATACAGCCTTTGGAAACCAGCTAATATGTTGGAGAGACGCAGGAGATGCAGGGAAGTCCTTGATGGGATGTCGTCTCATGGCCAGTTTTGCTATCTTGTCATCCATGGCCAGTGATGGTGGGAGTCAGCTGCCCAAAAAGTAGAGACTGGGGTCGCGCTGCAGAGGTGGCTGTTTTTATGACACTCATTCCCCATGCTCATTAAACTCAACTCACAATTCTTTTTGCTCTCAGTTGCCCCTTAAACAGCTGCGCACCACTATACAGACTTCCAAATTTCTCTCTTCTGGCAGCCCACTCTGCCCTCATGCGTGCACACTCCCAACTGCAAATGGCTAATTATTCAGTGTGAGGGCGGCCTCGGACAGATTCATTGGTCCACTGTGACATGTTCGGTAATTTCATTGGACAGATGAGAGGAGACAATGGGTAAATCTACTGACGGCTTGAAGCTCATCCACAACAAAATCTGAAATAAACTGCATGACATTAGAAGTCACAGGGTTAAAAGTTTTGTTTTTTTTTGGGGGGGAGCTGCTTCTAGTCCGGAAATGATGGTAGTTTAGTTGTTTTAGTGAGTTTTTGTCAAAAGTCACTGATCTGCAACTTTGACTTCCAGACTAGCCCATGGAGTACGATATAGCTTTTGAATAGCTGTCACTGTAGTAATGTACATTTTTACATCAACAATCACGCATAAAGAAGAAACCAAATATCGAAAATCTGTCCATTACAGTCTTTTATTACAATCTAGGTTTTTTTTGTTTTGTTTTGTTTTTTTTTTTTGTTTTTTTTTTTGGTCCTCTCCCAAGACGTGAGGTCTGAGTGTGGTTGTGGTGAGGAGGGGGGACCATGAGGAAGAGTGCGTCTTCGTTGCCAGGCAACGAGGGCGGGGGCCCAGCCGGCACCGTCCGTGTGTTTGGCGTGCCCTTGGAGGAGGTGACACGCACGCACACGCTCGGCGGTCTCGAGGTCCCAGCTCTTGTCAAGGACATTGTGGAGTACATTGAAGAGCATGGTGAGACACACACACACACACACACACACACACACACACACACACACACACACACACAGGAAATCAGGGCCGAGCATGTGATCGGAAATATGAGTTTTTAAAAAAATCCTTTCCAAATATTCCTTTCCAGTCCACCCCAAAAGCACCCAAACTGTCTTTCTTTAAACCTTTTTTCTAAACAAAAAATACATACTGCACAGTAATAACATTTGCTCTCCACATGTCCTGCAAACACAGAAACAAAGAAAATGCGAGCGGAGGACAAAATGTGACAGCATAATGTGTTGTTCTTCCTTGTCCCACTGTGGGGTCCGTTGACAGTTGGCAAACCCAATGGTGCATTACTCTCACCAGATAATATTGTCATTCCACTGCAATGAAAACAACATGAATTGATGGTGGCTGGAAATTGTGAAGTATGATGCCACCTGGAATTGAGTTCAAGAACAAAATTTGGTCAAGTACAGGATAGCCCATTTCTAAAAACTCATGAGTCAAGACACTTGGTAGTTGTAAATGGTTCAGATTCTGCAAATTCAGATAAAGGCTCGGATCAAGGTCATTCCTTTCGCTTTTTGGGCTTGACTTCTTAGCAGTCAAGTCATTATCATAGGTGTTGCCTATCATCCTTATGCAAAAAGTCCCAGCGTTTTGGAAACCTGATGGCATCTGGGATGAAAACATTCTGGTCTATTTCTCTTTCTTGTGATCATAAAGAAAATATTACAGAAAAATATAAAAATTGTCCCATTGGGGCTTCACCTTATGACCGGATGAGGTTGTGTAACAAGTCTTTAAAGTCCCACTGTCCTTTGCGCGTGTGTGAATTGGGCCGCTGCTGTGAGTCAGGAAGTTATTCAGCCAATGAAAAGACTTTAATCCCTTATTTAGTGTGCGCGTGTCTTTGAGGTATTAGCATCAACTTAACATCAAAACGACCTCATAAAATGTGACAGAAATGGAAAATGGCCACTCTTGAACTGAAAAGTAAAAGTTAAAAAAAAATTGTTTTAATTAAAATTTTTAAAAAATTACATGACTGCACATGCTACACCTTAAACTGGATCACATAACACACGCCATGCAAGATAAAGAGCACATGGCATTTATATAAGATCAAAGAATGAGGGCAACAACATGTTAGGGGTGATAGCTTTCTGACAAAATAATCCGCAGTTAAAAAAAAGAAGGCCAGAGCGCAACAGACAGGTATCACATTAAAATTTGGACTTGGATAGTATAGCTACCGAGTACCTCGATACTGATGTTGAAACGATATGACTGTGAAGACTTACAGTCCCTTTCAAAAGTATTGGAACGACAAGGTCAATTCCTTTGTTTATGTCCTTGACTGAAAACATTGGGGTTTCAGATCAAAACCTGAATGAGACACAAATTGAGAATTCCGTCTTTTATTTCATGGTGTTTACATTAAGATGTCTTCAAGAACTCAGAACAGCATTTTTTGTTTGAAGCCACCACACACATTGACTTCACCAGATTTTTGCAGTCTTCATTGAAATGCTTTTCCATGCCCTTAATGCAGCCTCTTTTAGTTCTTGTTTGTTTCCAGGGGGGTGGGGGAGGGGGTTCCTTTGGTCTCCTCTTCGGGAGCCGAAATTCATGCTTTATTGGGTTATGGTTTGCTGATTGACTTGGCCAATCAGTGGCCAAAAAGTGACCAAGACTGTCCACTTTTCCCCCCCGATGACCTTTGCTGCCAATAGGCAGTGTGTTTTTGCTCATCTTGTTTTATGATGAAGCTTTTCCCGAATAGTTTAGGTGCAGTTTCTTGTAAATTGCCAGACAGATTGGTTTTGTAGACTTCATCCTGCTCTGACCATCAATTACATCATGCCATATCACAAGTTGCAAGCCACTGATCAGCAAAAATAATTTGAATGACAGATTGGATTTTACAAAGTAGTACAGAGATGAGCCACAAAGGTTTTGCAACAGTTTTAATCGACTGATGAGACCAAGATTAAACCTCTAGCAAATTGATGGAAAGGACAAAGTATGGAGAAAGAAAGGATCTGTTCATGACCCAAAACACACAAAATGCGTCGCATGGTGGAGGTAACATCATCGCTTAGGCTTGCATGGCTGCTTCTAGAACGGGCTCACTAGTCTTTATTGGTGATGTAACTCATTATGATAGCAACAGTATGAATTCTGACATCTACAAAATCATTTTGTCTGGAAATTTGTAGAAAAATGCATCCAAAGTAATTCGGAGAAGCTTTATTATGCAACAAGATAATGACCCAAAACACAACGGCAACACAATAATAATAATAATAATAATAATAATAATAATAATACATTTATTTTGAAAGCGCTTTTCATCGTACTCAGAGACACTTTCCAAGCGTTTAAAACGCGGGATAAAAATGTACACTTAAAGCCAAGCATACATGATTTAAAACACATTTAGGAGAAGGGGAAAAAAAGCAAAAGTGGGTAAAAGAGATTAAAAGGTGTTAAAGGCATTGCGGAACAGGTGAGTTTTAAGAAATTATTTGAAGGATTGGAGGTCAGTACAATTGCAGATGTGTTGTGGCAGAGAGTTCCAGAGGGTGGGGGCGGTGACAGAGAAGGCTCGTTCCCCCCAGGTTTTGAGCTTGGTCACAGGGATGGCGAGGAGGTTTGTCTTTGAGGTTGCGGAGGTTGCGAGAAGGAGTGTATGGGTGAAGAAGGTCGGACAGGAAGGAGGGGGCCTGATTGTGAAGGGCTTTACAGGTGAGTAGGAGGACTTTAAACTGAATATGCTGGGGAAGGGGAACCAATGGAGGTTTTTAAGGATGGGGGTGATGTGGGTGAGAAGGCGGGCGGCGGCGTTCTGGATGAACTGTAGTTTATTGAGGAGTTTGGAGGTTGTACCGTAGCGGGTGCCTTTGCAGTCGTGAAGGCGAGAGGTGATGAAGGCGTGGATGAGGGTTTGAGCAGCGTTGAAAGAAAATGAAGGGCAGAGGCGAGAAATGTTTTTGAGGTGGAAGAAAGCAGTTTTTGTGATTTGGGTGATGTGTTGCTCAAAAGAGAGATTATTATCAAAAGGGACACCAAGGTTGCGACGGTGAGAGGAAGGGAACAGGGTGGAGTTGTCGATAGATTGGTTCAAATCCACAAAACATTTTGTAAAGGCGCTTGCAGCACACACGACACGGATGCCTTTGAATGACACAATTTATCAGACAGAAAAGTTTGTCCAACCATGAATGTGTGGATTTAATTCTCATGGAATGTAATGGCCGCTGCTATGGTTGGTATTCTGCTTTGTCATCCAGTCCTCTGTTAACTCTGCCTGACAGCTTCACCAATCCTGAAGACGTGACCTTAAGATTTTGCACCCCTAATGGGTTTCATGTGTCTTCCTGGTTTGTGTTGCCAGGTCATCTGGATTTGGAGGGTCTCTTCCTAGTCAATGGCAACGCCGAGCGCGTGGGCTGGCTGCGGCGTCGCTATGACAGCGGCGAGGAGGTGGCGCTTGACAAGGAGGCAGACCTGGCCTCGGCCGTCAGTCTGCTACGACTTTTCTTGCAGGAGCTCCCCGAGCCCGTCATCCCGGCGCCCATTCAGGGACCCATTTTGCAGCTTCACCAAGGTGGGCCTAGACAGATTTAGAGCAAATTTACTCAAGGCGACTGCCGCTGTTCACAGTAGAAACAAAGAGACCGACTGTAAATTATCCACACAAGAGAGTCCGTAGCACACTCCGATGCTGCGTAGGCAAGGGCTCAAGGGTCAGATTCTGAAAGTTGAATAACCTTGAGAAAAAATGGCAGCGTATCACTGTATTACAATTCCAGCTCTGAAATATATTCTTTTGAAATGTTTGGGATCGCTAACTATTTTTCCATTAATAAACACCCCAAGGACCGGACCTGCACATGCCTGCTTTATAACATAGGCTGCCTTCGGAAATTAATTGGAGGGGGGAGAGCTCTTCCTCTCCAAACACAAAGTGTGTGTGTGTGTGTGTGTGTGTGTGTGTGTGTGTGTGTGTGTGTGTGTGTGTGTGTGTGTGTGTGTGTGTGTGTGTGTGTGTGTGTGTGTGTGTGTGTCAGATTGACTTTCCAAACGCACACCATGTTGACGGCAGCGAAAGAGTTCCGGTTGCTTTTGAAACATTTTTTTCTTTTTTCAGTAAAATGGCTTACCTTAACTAAAATCCTGCATTGCATTGTGGTCGAAGGTTGAATCCTGGTCAAGTATTGCGCCTTTTTCTGTTGTAAATAGTGAACGTTTGTCGTGGCTGCATACTAGCAGTTGAAGCCAAGTTACGTCACATATTTGTTAGCATAACAACTACTTTGTCTCTTCTTCCATTTCTCGGTTTATCTTTGGTGGCTGGCAAACACCTTTAGTATGCTATAAAGCAGGTGGCCACCAGCAGGAATCCATGATTACTAGTACGTCTACTTTTTTTCTTTTGTATTTTCTTCCATTAATGTTTCTTTTTCTTCCATTGCTGCTTGTTTCATTTCTTCTTCGACTTGCTTGGCCTTTGGCAAATACTTTGTGCATTACCGCCATTGGAAAGAAGATGGCAGTAATGTACAGACAGTCAACAGGATTCAGGAACGGGGATTTTGGGTGCCAGTCTAGTGTTGGCATCTTTCAAATCTGGAAAATAAGGGACACTCCTCACGGCATCGCAGCAAAACCATGCGGGTGAAAGAAATTTGAGGGCTCCCCAAAACCCTGAAATGCATAGAATCACATATGTTTTTTATTTAAAAAAAAAAAAAAAAATGCTTTGATTTAATTGACATTATTTAACATGTATCGTTAGCCTCTGTGCCCTGGGGTCACTTTGTGGTCAGTAAGGAAGGAGAAGTCAAGAAAGCATTTGGACATGCTTAACATTTAAAGTGCTTTACTAGCAGTGAACCTTGTTCTTAATTTATTTTTATTCCATAGACTGAAGTAGCCTGAAACTGAGCATCGCATGTAGGCTATTAAAAAGTGCTGTAAATTAAACAAAGATGGATACTTTTAACACTTTTAACAATTGTGAAACACTTAATCGCCCGAACTTGAGCATATAGACCTGGCATACTGCGTTGTATACATAGAAAGTGCTGTAAGTGTTACAATTGGGGACACCTTTAAAAGGAAGGAAAAAATGAAATACTTGTCACTTTGTGTGTATACATGTTCGAGGCTGAATAGACTGAACAAGGCTGAACTTGAGCATACTGTATTACATGCATATACTGCAGAGTGCTGTAACAAAACCTCTCTGGGGACACTTTTATAATAAAGATAACTGGAATAAAATTAAACACTTGTGTGAACCCAAAGGAAAAGATGAAAAAATGGTTTTAACCACTGAAGCTGTCAAGCCAAGGCTCTATGGGTATATGCTGCAGTAGACATTTTTAAAATGCACGGTGCAACCTACTGTTAAGTGTGTAGTGAGCGCATTACTAGGCAACAATCATGACAGGCAGCGGCAGCGCAAAGGAGTTGGGCTGCCTGTGTGCAGGCAGACACACAGAGGATTTGGCACAAAGCGGAGGAGAACGAACCAGACGGAACTACGCTCATGGGTCCACACCATGTTGCTGTCTTAAATATTTCCTGTCTTTCATTTTGTTTATTCTTGTTAAATTCACTGTTGACGCTTGTCTGTGACATGGGACAGTTACGAAATTACCGAACAGTGAGGGTTTAATTCCCAATTAAAGGACAATTCTGTATTTTACGGGACGGGTGGCAAACTTATGCCAGTTCGAGCTCTAATTTTAATACACCCAAGTCCCACCTGAGTAAGTTACAGGACCAGCTAAACTATGAAAAAAAAAATTACATTTTAGTTGAAAAATATGGTTTGATAATGCCATCATTCCTTGCCAGGTAGTCATAACAACTGCCACCTTGCACAATAGTGGAAAAAAACTGAGCTAGAAATAATACAGTCAGTAAATCAAACACACACACATTTTGTAGTGGTACACATTGACAAAATGTGGCACGTCACAGTTACCTTTTAAGTACGCTAATTATGGCTATAAAATCCAAAAAGATGTGGATTAATTCTACTGGCCTGATAATCACCAGTGGTATTGTTCGCGTTCTGCTTTGTCATCTTGTCCTCTTTTAACTCTGTTATCATCTCACATTATCTGCTCTAATCCCCTTGACGGCCACGGGGGACTTTTTACACTCATTTCAAATGTTGCCTTTTTTGGTCTATTTTTTCGCATCCCATTTTCACCTTATGTTACCTCTTCCACGTTTATTTTAACTCGATCTGTGCGTTTTTTTTCTTGGAAATATATTTTCAAAGCACAGAAATACAATGGCATTCTATTATTAAACCTCTGAAGAGTAATTGCTGCTGCTTCCTCTTAAGCAACACCACTAATTAAAATGTGCAGAGTCACTCACTGTCAGTGCTGTTGTGTATTCCCCTTCTCTTCCTTCTGTGTGAAAGACATTCTCAACTCAACTGTATTTATAGAGCACTTTCAAACAGCCATCGCTGCATACAAAGTGCTGTACATGGAGCAACTAACATATACAACAGTAAAGCAACATATTTATATGTATGTGTCTCTGCAGAATACAGCAGCGAAGACGAGCTGTGCCGTCACCTGAAGTTCCTGCTGCAGCAGCTTCCACAGCTCAACTACGGCCTGCTACGCTTCCTGTGCCGCTTCCTGGCCAGCGTGGCGGCGCTACAGCACAAGAGTTGGAACACCGGAGCTCTCGCCGCCGTCTTCGGGCCTGACATCTTCCAGTAAGACATCCATCCTACAGTCACACGCACTAGCTGATTTAGTAGTCTATTTTAGTCTGGTTAATATTTCACTTTCATACTGTACTTGTGTAAAGGAAACATGCCATGACCAAAAAATAATCTATAATCTTGAGAGTGGACTGAATGATGATTAATTAAACTGAAATACCCGATAATGACATTGCTAATACGGTTTACAGAAAAACTGCTTTTCTTGAAGCAAGGTTTCGTTAATGTTAATATGTGACTTGATTAGTAGTAATGAATCATTGTACTGTAGTATATTTTTTTCATGTGGCAAAATATGCAACCTCACTATATTCTTAGCTAATTAATTGTAATTAAAGTGTGTGTGTGTGTGTGCATGTGTTTGTGTGTACATATACATGTTGTGTTAAGCGCTACAGCTGCCGCTGTTGTGAAAGCGATATATAAGATAAGAAAACCTTTAATAGTTTCACAATGGAGAAATTCCCACTTCACAGCAGCAAAGTTATGAGAGGAAGAAGTAGAACAAAATAAATAGGAGCTGCTGGAAAGGCAGCCACTCTCGCGATATAAATCAGTATGTATTGTGTGTGTGTGTGTGTGTGTGTGTGTATGTGTGTGTGTGTGTGTGTATGTATGTATGTATGTATGTATAAAGCATTTCATTCCATGTGAAACTTGTATGTAGGGGTGTTGTGATAATCAATAAATCAATTAAACTCACAATAATGAAAAAATGAACTCAATAGGTTTACAGTGTCTTTGCTAAAGACACTGGGCGTTTGTTGTTCCCAGAGACTGATCGTCCATTTAATTGTTTTTGTTATTGTTTTGGGTACTTTTGATTATTTATTTTGGGATATTTCTAATGTCTTTTTTCATTCTATAATTCCAATTTAAACATTCTCTAGAAATAACTTTTAACTTTAAAAAGGTGTAAAAGAATAATTATACTCTTATAATTATATTAGTTGAATACTGATGTGAAAACTGGTTTACCACAACAATTTTTGCGGCAAGTTATCATCAAGCAAAATTTATCATGACAGGCCTACTTAAATCAGTTCTTTTTGAAACGCATGTTGCATGGGCCGTTACAATGATGACGATATTTTTTCGATATATTGTGCAGCCCGACATGATAGTGACTTACTCAGATAAGCAGGATCATCCCTGAAAAGGATGCTGTGTGGAAGGTTTCAGCATTAATGGCACTTTCACAGACATGCAAGTAACTACACACCGTTAACATGTTCTGGCCTATACCATCCCAGATGCTGGCTTTTGAATGTTGTGCTGATAATAATCCTAATGGTCCTTGTTCCTCTTTGGCCCAGAGGACATGATGTCCATGATTCCCCCAAAAAATCTAAATGCGGTCTCAACAGACCACACATTGCTTTTCCACTTTGCACCAACCCATCTCAGATGACCTCAGGCCCAGAAAAAATAAAACGGCGGTATTTCTGGGTGACATATGGGCTCAGCTTTGTAGTATATTAATGTAGCATATTAAATTGAATGTAGGTATATCATTGTTTTCTGGTTTTTACGTTTTACACAACATTCCAACTTTGAGAATTGGGGTTTGTACCTCTGGACCAAACTGGTATTCTGATGTGACTGACGATGACACGCTGCTGTCTGCTGCTTTCATCCATGAGCAGCCTGTCGACAGAAGGCGAGGACCTGCGTGAACAGGAGTCTGTTAGCCGAGTCCTGGCCGAGCTGCTGGACAACCAGGAGGGCCTGTTTGACTCTGAGGACGATGATGTCTCCACCACCAATGACTACAGCTCCATCAACGAACAGGTAACAGACGCATTCGTCCACTTGTTACATAAGAGAGGCAGCAGAAAAGTACTCGCATGAAAGCTACTAAAGTAATCTGATAGAAAGAAGATAGTAGTACTTGGAGGCAGGAAGAAAATGGTGCCGGTTATGTAACTATGCACCCGACACATGCAGTCTCTACCGCAGCACCAAAGATTTAAACAGACAAAACATGGATGGCTCTGTGACAAATCAGTTTAAATATTTATCACGATGGTTACATGCTCGGTATCAATAGAAAATATGTTTGCTATAATGTTCGATAGAGAAAATGTGGAAGAAAAGGCAGGCAGAAGAAGCTTTAAGATATACCACAGTTCTCTTTTTTTCGCATGATTCTATCAATATATATCGAGGAGGGACAAGCTCCCCCCTCAGCTGTGTGACTAATCCCAGCCCAGCTCAGTAAATTTGCTTACTTCATCAAACTCAATCCCGCTTTTGTAACCAACAAGCAACCCGCTGAGAAACATGCATTAGTAGCAATTTAATGTTTCGCCATCGTGTCTCAGAACTTCTTTCAAAAAAGAACCCTGCACTGAAGCGTGTGCCTGACTGTAGTCTTGAATTCAATAAAAACACAACCGCGCGTCAATACCTTCCTTTGGGAAGGTGTTGGAATACTGCTCCCTGATTTGCTTGTGACGTGTATGAGCAGTTGGCTCGTGCAAATCAAAAATATTTGGGAATTGAAAAGAAGACGCCTCGCTGATTCGAAAGTTAGAATAGCAAACACTAGTTTCTGGTTATGTTTGTTCCACCAGAGTTTAGTAGACATAATCTGCACATGAGATACAGGTAATAATATATCACTAGAAGAATTGTGCCATAGATGGGTCAACAACATGGGTCAGATTGCTTAGTAACACATTGAAAATAAGCAAAACTAGTTGGAAGATAATTGTGATGTGTTTGACAACACTGGAATTGGAGATGCAGAGTTGTCCAGTGTTCGCACTCTCCACTCGACATCTCACCAATCCCCTCCTAATCGACTGGAGAAAAGTGCCCCAATGCTCGAGTAAAAATATATTTTCACAATTGAAAAGCACATTACCGCAATGATTTATCGGCATGTAGAGAAATACATGAAATCGGTGGTCCGGTGAACTCTCTATGACCCTTTCTTACTGTTATTTACTCGGCAAATAAGTAATCACTTTGAGCTGTCTTCCTCATCTTAACATGGTTGAGTCATCCTGGTGTGTGGCTGCACTTTGGATGCGACCGTGCAAGAATCTACCGCTAGCCAATAAGAGTGTCTGACTGTCTATATTGCCATGGCGACATGGGAGCAGATGGGTTTGCTGTCCGGATCAGAGCTGAGGACAAACTGAAGCCAAGGGAAAGGAAATGTAAAGTGTAAATGTGGGTACAAGCCATTAAGACGTCAAATCATGTATACAGTGCCGTGGAAAAAGTATTTGACCCCCTCCTGATTTCTGTTTTGTTGTTTTCCTCATATCTATCACGCACAAAGGTTTCAAATCAGCAGACCAATTCAATTTAATAAGGCACAAAACCTTTCTGACCTGGCATACCAAGCATTGTACTTTTCTCAGATGTCTTAACTCCCGCATATGACTAAATGTTGCCATACATACTATTCATTCATCTTCTGAACCGCTTGATCCTCACTAGGGTCGCGGGGGGTGCTGGAGCCTATCCCAGCTGTCTTCGGGCAGCAGGCGGGGGACACCCTGAATCGGTTGCCAGCCAATCGCAGGGCACACAGAGACGAACAACCAACCACGCTCACATTCACACCTAGGGACAACTTAGAGTGTTCAATCAGCCTACCATGCATGTTTTTGGAATGTGGGAGGAAACCGGAGTACCCGGAGAAAACCCACGCAGGCCCGGGGAGAACATGCAAACTCCACACAGGGAGGCCGGAGCTGGAATTGAACCCGGTACCTCTGCACTGTGAAGTCGACGTGCTAACCACTGGACTACCGGGCCGCCCGCCATACATACTATAAGATGAATTATTCACAAAAAATAAAAATAAAAACCGTTAAATGTTGAAAAGATACCACGTTTCCTCAGTGTGAGAAGGGAATGAAAGTGGACATTTAGTTGACAATTGTTTACATTTCTGGACTGCGTGTAATTATAATAGTTATTTTTGATTGTCGACAAAAATGAACTTTAAAATTGTCTTTCTTATTTATGCTGGGATGCTTTGGGTGCACGGGGGGAGCATTATTAAGTTCCGGAGTCAACCTTGCTTGTACTAGAAAGGGTGATGCTGATGTTAGCGCAGAGTATGAAATATTAGAAAATGTAAGGTTTTATTCTTCAAAATATTTTATCTAGTTAGTTGGTTCTATACCCAGTGAGTCGGTGAATTAGTTTGGTGATAGTTAATCGATCGGTTGAACAGATTGACATGCAAGAGTAGCAACTTGTGTATTGGGCTGGGTAAGACTGTAAAGTGATCATTTCGTGAGGCTAATAACAAATTGCTAAAGTCTTATTTAACTTAATATCACAATATCAATGAAAATACCAACATGCTTGCTAAAAATGTTGTTATTCTTTCATCACTGTGTCTATCGTCAGATATCCAGGTCGTGTTAACCCTCAAAGTTTTCCCCATCCCTCATCCTCCATCTTGTCCACCTGCTGAGTGGTTGTGACTATATTTAGATGTGTTATGAAACCGCCTCCGTTGCCTTAAATGTCACCGCTGAGTTAAATCAAATAAAAAGGTCGTTTCGTGTCGTGGGGTGACATAGCACCCTGACGGCTGGAGGAAGGGGGCAATTGTAAAGTTACACAACAGCATCACATTCAGAAGGTTTGCAGAGGTAACCTTGACTAGTTGATACATAGTTCTCTCCAAAGGTAATGGAGCGGCAAGGTCACTCCATCTCCCCCCCCCCCCCTTTTTTTCTTTTTTTTTCTTTTTTTTTTTTCTTTTGTCGTCGTATACTAAAGACATTTGGGTTTCAGATCAAAACAGGGATATCAGACAAAAGTTCAGAAGTGCAGCTTTCATTTCATGGTATTTACATCGAGATGTGTGAAACAACTCAGGACAGAGTACAATTTGTTTGAAGCCACACTTTTGCGTAGAGCTGGGCAACTACCCTGCCAACTGACGTGCACTGCTGACACTAACATGGCCATGAACAGAGAGGAGCAAGTTTGGGGGGGGGGGGGGGGGAAAGGCGAGCGAGTTTCCATTCATGGCAAAAAGCAGACATGAGCGGAATCATTTTCAATGTTTGTATTTTTTGTGGTCAGATCACAGAACTGCTGGACGATGACAAGTGTGAGGCAGAGTGCGAGGAGCTCCCCCAGGATGGCGAAGATTGCCCCACCTCCTCAAACTCACCGCAACGCACCTGCTACGACGACCCGGCCGACAGGTGAGCCTTTCGTGGTGTGGTCACCGCTCACAAAACACCTCATTTGGAACGATAAATCACAAATGTGTGTTGGTCTTGGAGTGTGCTTCAAGCGAGAGCCAAGCTTGTTTCTCACTGCTCGTGTTCAGTCCATCATTAATCTTTTCAGCGGCTTAATAAGTTTGTTCCGATGTTCACAAAATGGCTCACTCCATCAGTCTATTTTGATGCATGGCGGACACGCCGACCTTGACAACTTAACAGTGTGCGCCACACGAATGCCAAACACCAAAATTAACATGGTTTGATTGAAATACTCTCGAGAGAAATTGCAAGGCTATGTGTAAGGATGATGCCTTTGTTGGTTCGTTTTTTTTGAACAAAAAAATGTTTTTTTTTTATACATACGGTGCTGGGAAAAAAATGAGGAGACCACTGCAAAATTATGACCAATTAATACCCTACAGACGGGACAGCACTTACTTTGCTCTCCATACATTTGCTTAGCACTGCTGATCCCATCTTGAATGGCTCTTTTTGCAACAACCGCAAGCATTATCAAAGACATTTACATTACATATACGAAGACGCCTTCTTGAGGACGTTGACGCCGGAGCCATACTGGTTTGTCAAAGTGAGGCAAATTGTGAATTTGCCGCCTCCTTGGAGATGCATCGTCAAACAGAATACGGAATTATTGCGAATGGGCTGACATATTGCTCCGACGTGGTTCAAAAATTGTCTGTTACAGAATTGAAAAGAAAAAGGAAAATATTTCTATTCATTTTAGATTTCCAAAGTGTTTATTGCTCCCATGGAGTCTTGTATTAAACGTTTCAAATGCTTCTTTAGTTGCCCACACAAATGTATGTCCTTTCTCACTTGAGATTAACATGATACAACATGACAGTCTAAAACTGCGATCGATGGTCACCAAAATTTTATTTGACATCTTTACTTAACTCTCGCATAAAAACATTGATGTATTCATCGCATATATACCTGCCTACCAAACTTTATTTTCAGTAATGCCGTGATTGGCTGTTGCAGATGAGACTAGCCATCAATCAAATAAAAATGACGTCACTGTTTCTTTATATTTTTTATGTATTTCTGATAAGCAACTCAACATTAGTATTTCACAACACAAAAATAGTTCTTATGAAAATATCCTGTTTAGAAAATACAGTGTTAGGCTACTCTCTGGCTTTATTTTGCCTCATGACACACGCATATACTTAACCCAGATAGTGATGATTAAAAGGACAGGCGAAAACCCACTTTCGTTCTTGCTTAATCTGTCCTTTTAAAAAAAAAAAAAAATTCTCATCCTTCATCCCAAAAATGGGCGTCCATCCCTGGGACAGGACAGAGTGCCCATCTCTGGTGACTCTCACGTACGTAAGATGATTAGCGGCTTGACCAGACGTCGCAACTAGAAGGGCCGCCTCTAGGGAATGCCAAGATCTGGTCGTCTTCTCTCCTTTAAGATGATTAGCATTTGCCCCTGCTGCTACTGCTGCACTCAGACTAAAGCGCATTACACACAACATACTTCACACCTCTGACGTTCATTTGCATGAAGACACGTGATAGGCAGTGGTCACAGATACTTGACAAGAACATGTGCAATATTTGTTTCAATGCACGCAATTACAGAACTGTTTTTCCAAGTCCACCGTGACTAATTTAGAAAAATTACAAGACCAAAATGAAGTAAGATGAAATATAAAATGCACAAACTAATTACGGCCACGGAATTATATGGCTCCTGCGAGGCCTTAAAGTTTCAAAAGCATTGAATTTATGAATTCGGAAACCATACCTGAAAAAGTCTCAAAAGTCTTGAAATACATTGAACGATGCCATCATTGAATCGTCATCATTGCTACGCATACACACACTTACAAACCTTCACCGCTCAATGAGATACAGACTATAAAGTAGGCAGTCGCCCAACACAGCGATGTACTGGCCACAGGCAATCGGGCCACCATTAATATTGAACCCTTTTCTCTTGTCAAATTGTATTTTTCATGATTAAAAACAAAAAAAAAAGTACATTAAATATTTCAATGCATTTTTTTTTTTTATCCTTCACAATTTTCCAAATGTGTCCATATCTGTACCAAAATGAAAAGATTTCTTCCTTGGCCCAAGTAATTTTTGTGTAATCCTGCGAACAAACACAGAGATGACAACATATTATTCCTTGGCTGAGGTAATAAGGGAGAGAAAATTTGTGTGCGTGTGTCAGTTTCTAATTGTTTTGGATGAACTGTTGTGATAACTTGCAGGGACATTCAAACACATTGCATATCGTGGGCTACATGGTCTGCGTCTTAATGGCTAATGCCTACTTTGTGGAGCAACATGGAGGATTTATGCAGGTCTTCGTGTGACAGCTGCAGGAGTTTAAAGCCACCCTGGCCAGACTCTTTGGATCTTTGCAGCTCATGTGATTGTTTTAGTTGGCATTCAAGTTTCTGAGACGAGCCAGGGGGGATTAATGATGTAATTTAGGCTTTTGGGGGGGCCATGGCAAAGAAAAATTCGACCAGCACTGACCTGCCGGATCAGGATGAAGTGTTCAGTATGTATCATTGCTGTCATCCAAGGTGGGTCATGGACATTCTTATGGCTTTACACACGCACACTCGCACACACGCACACTCCAAAAAAAACCAAACAAAAAAAATCATTGCTGGATCTCAAAAATGACCGCTCACCTTCTGACATTTTTTGCAAATGACAAATGAGGCTGTCAGCAGGATATATGAGCTTTTGGCTAAGTGATGCTGAACCCGCGCGATGACACGCAGCAAATGTTAACGCTCGAGCCATGGCCACGTCTCAAAAACTAAGAGGCTCTACCTCTAAATTCGAACACAAAAAATGTTTAAAGATGAATATCAACATTTCAGCAGCCTCTCGAAGAGCTGCATGCATGTCATTTGATCCGCATTGGCCTACATCGGCTGTTTATATCAGTGTATAGGGTGTGCAGACACAGCCCACCTACCTGCTTAAATATTGCAGCGTGCATACGATAACAGTAGAATGCCAGGCATGACAACATATTTTCACTGGAGTGACTCGTCAACTCCAACCAAATGGATATGATGAAGGATACACAGCTAACCTTTTTACAGCCCTATTTATAAGTGTGTGTTTTGTTTTAGCAGTCCTATAAGCAATTCGAGAAAATCATTGTGTGTAACTAGAGTGTTACGCAATTCAGCTGTAAAGAAAGATCGTACGTGCCGGAAATAATAAATCTAATATTTAAAAAAAGGGGGAAAAAAGTCTGAATTTTCAGACAGGAGCACCAAAGGGACAGATTGGAAGCAGAGTGACCAAGTTCGATAGGAATAGAAATCAACTTGTCAGAGGGACATCCAAGGTTAGATGTTTTAGGGAATAAGTCAGAAGAGAGCAGGTAGCTTGGACTCATCCAGAGTCGAGATAGTGAGTATATTGGTAGTATACCTGTCTAGGTGGAAGGATCATGCCTAATGGGGCAATTGAAATGGACAAGAAAATGATGAGCCTGAAAACCCAAATTTTCGAAACTAGGTCGCAGAGTGGATTAATCTCAAAACGCTTACCTCACGTTTCTGTGCGAACAAAGAATATGTTCCCTTAAAGCAGGGGTCCCCAACCGCCGGTCCGCGGACCGGTACCGGTCCGCAGGGCATTTGGTACCGGGCCGCACAGAAAGAACTTGCCTTATTTCTGTTTTATTTATTTCGGAACACGAAAGATGTTTTATTTTGAAAAATTACCGGATTCTCTTTTACATCCGTCTGTGTCACGCTTGACTCACGTCAAGCCACACTTCTCGGTCACGTGACCAATGACGCTTAAAAACAAAACACTAAAGCCCGCAAAATGAGTAAAAATGCTGCTTGGAGATCACAAATGACAGCGGCCTTAAAAGTACGTTCGAAACAACTGGATCAAAGTTATGGCTGAATACTCTGAGATCGCCACAATAGCACTGTTGCTATTTCCGACATCCTACCTGTGTGAGGTGGGGAGTTTCTGCAGCAACGGCGACTAAAACAAAATTACGAAGTAGACTGGGACATAAACCACACACTTGAGGTGTCATTGTCTGCTATTACCCCGAGATGGGACTGTCTGATTGCAGAAAATCAAGCTCGGGGCTGTGGTGAGTCGTCATTTTCATGCACTTTGAATTTGCGTTGTATCGTATTTTGAAGGCATTAAACATTACCAGAGCGATAAGAGTGTTGCGACCAGATTAGACGCTCCTTGTGTTTATTATTATATTTCGAAAACACCACCGTTTTCATGCAGCTCATACCATATTATTTTGTTGTATTAATTCGCCACACCTTAAATGCCGGTCCCTGAAAATATTGTCTGACTTTAACCGGTCCGTGGGGCAAAAAAGGTTGGGGACCCCTGCCTTAAAGAGTGACGTGTTGTCCCAGTGCTCACGTGACCCTGCGGCGAACACGGTCAACATTAAAAAAAACAATGATGAAATACCGTGCTACATTCTTGCTGTAGATGCGGCTTTGAAAGCAAACTATCCTCACAAATCCAGGCCACGCAAATGTCTCCTTTCCTCCTCGCTTCACATTCACCCCCCATTCTTGCGGGTTTGTTTCCATGGCACAGTTTCTTATTCTCTGCTTTTGGTGACATCTGTAGCAGCATTACAGTGCCACACAGACATGGCATCTATGTACTATGTTGTTTCAGCGTTTTCATGTGGAAAACACACATTTCTTGAAACGATTCAGTGTTTACGAGTTTATTTGTTCTAAAATCCAGCTGTGTTTCCATGTGGACATGGCCTGAGTCAGGTTCTGTCTGCATGGCAACAGTAGAAAACAGACCTTACCGTCAGTCAAGCGGCACACAACCCACTTCACTTTGTAGCCACACACTGGATGCGAGCATTCTATTTGTGAAGTGCAAGAGCAACTGATACTCACATGCAAAGGTGAGAGACTGTGACTGTTTGGGAGTTGTTCTTCAAAACAGGC